AATGCTGCATTAAAACACGAGCTATTGTTTAGTCGAGAACTTCTACTTAAGTCAAAACTTGTGCAATGAACAAAATAGAAAAGTAATCTCAAAAATGGGATAATAATAATAATAATAATTATAGTATTTAGAAATGATGAAATAACATGATTGCATCGTCTAAATCCATCAAGCAAGATTCCAAAATCCTCGTGACATTGGCCCAACGAACATATTTAGTATTCGATTCCCCAACGAGCTTGTCTTTAGGCAATTTAATAACCTGAGGAATAACAAGATGAAAAGGTTTATTTAAAAAAAAAAACTCAAAATCATAATCGAAAATTCTATCACTGAAATTTGATTTTCTACACTTTCTTAAAATTACCTCTTTCGCTTGATCTTTCTCATGTGCGATTCTGAGTTTCAAATTTAGAGCGGCGTGGTACATTTCATTTAAAACTTGTTTCTGAAGCTGCTCTTTGTTTATTGTCCATAGCCGAAAGTCCGACTGTTTTGCTGTACTCGTCTTCACATGCTGCAATAAATTTTTTTTTTTTAATCCGAGTTCTTTCGCTTAATGAGAATGAGTTCCTAACCAATACTTCGATATGTGCTTAAAAGCCCAAACGAATATAGATGTTCGGGTTCTATTTACCTCCATTTGCAAGAAGTCATCTTTCCAAAGCTTGTACAGAATCGCGATTGTAGCTTTCTTTTCAACGAATGTACTGTCTGAAATCTGTACGAGAATAAATAAATTGAAGTCTCCGATCCCAAATGTGCACACACACATACTTAAAGATAAAGTTAATCGAAATATACTCATAACATACACAAAGGTGTATCAGGGACTCTGCAAATAACAAAACTTAAATAGATGAACTTCTTTTCTCCCCAAAAAACAAAAAAAAAAGGCCCTTCCGTAAATATTTCACTTCTAAGCCAAAATTTCTTATTACAAGTCGTTATCGGCACCAGATGATAACTGTTCAAAGTTATATGTTTAGGCTCTATGAAATTAAAAGTATACCGGAATATTCGAACAGAAATAAGTGGCTATTATTTATATTTAAATAATTTAATACAAAATATAACATGTACGGCAACAAATATATCATTACAGTGTTTCGATTACCTTTTCAGTTTCCATAAGACGACCAGCTTTGGAAAGTAACCTGTATATCCTGTAGGCCTCCGGCCCATATCTTCTCATTACCAAAGACTCCACCTAGATTCAAATACCATAAGATGCTGCATGCATAAACTTCTTAACCGGGGGGGCGGGGGGAATTGAGAATTAAAGAAAATTTACTAACTTCTTCATTTTGAGATAATTCAATGATTTCCTTTATATCTGTAGACGGGGAAAGGTGAAAAAAGGTGCGGATTAGACACTCGATGCATACAACAAATTTTCGGATTTTGGATTAATAAATAACATTTGACCATTGAATTGAAATATTAGAATGAAGAGAATTTGTACCGATGCAGTAACTTTCATCCATTCCTGTGGAGAGTGTTTCACAACCAAGCTGGTCGAGCAAAGATCTGACACGTTCAAAGTCCATGCCAAGACCACCCTCTTTTTTTATCACCTCATCGTATATAGCATTTATGGAAAGATATTCTGCAAAAAAAAATACATCGTAAGTCACACGAGTGATGAAAAGTGCCATGAAAGTTGATTGTTAGGAAGAACAAAAAGGATTTTAAATTCGACATTGACAAACGGACCTCCAAGAGTAATATTTTTGCTTATCTTCAGTTATTTGGCTATTGAATATCTATATTGTACTTAATTTATCATTACCAGGCATCCTTAACTTTTCTCATAAACTACATAATCAATGTACCACGCCCTTCAATTCAGAGAACTTATATACAGTGAATGGAGATGTATAAAATGTGACCTCAAATTGAATTTAGGTATTAAAAAAAGAGTCAATACCAGATTTTTCAGCTTTCAGTCCACTCTCTGATTGTTTACTTAACTCCAACATTGCACTCAGCACAATGGCAGCTTCTTCGTTAATCTTCGATTTGACATGTGCGATACAAGCCTATAACAGGTCCCAAGAAAAAGAAACATCAAATACAGTATATCAATAAATAATCAAATACGATACATTCAAACGAGGTTGACCAAAGGAATTACTCAAATACTTATCACAACAAACCTTATGCCGCAGGCGGCGCAAAAATTCTTCCACGTTGACACGCCAAAGAACTTCCTTCTTTTTATCAGCATCCAATTCGCCTTCATCTTGCTTCCGCTATTTAATCCAAAACAATAAAATATCAACAAACTCATATATAATATTAAAGGAGACTTCATAAAACAACCATCCGAACCTTCTGCCCGCTTCTCACGCTAGTAGTAGTTTCATTACCCTTCTCTTCAGAGTGATCGTCCATTTCGAGAAAGAATCTCATCGACTCCATTGGAGCAGCTGCTGCCAAAACACGTTGATCTAGTGGTGGTTCTTCTACCTGTTAGTTGGGGGGAATAGAAAGATAATGACACAAACAAGAAGTTCAAAAGAGCGCATTAAAGTTATAGAGAATACAAATATGTGAAGCTACCTCATAAAGGTCCAGTACTGCTCAAAGATCCTATTGGCTATTACCATAAATATAGGAGAAATCGAAACAGAGCAACCTCTCAAAAGTCCTATATTACTGCTCGACCAACAGATTTATAAGTGAAGGATTTACCCAATACACGAGTTGCCTAATACTATGTTGCTTAGCGAAAAAAACTAGCAGGGCACGATCACATTACTGTTAAATATGTGGTGAATGAAAAAAAACTGTATAAAATACATGAAAATGAGGTAAATTCTTTGAGTATTCTGTTCCTTTTTCTTCTCTAAGCTCCCAATATAAAAGATTTGCATAACTGATTTTCAGTTCTCAGTACTTCATCTCGAAACAAATAGATTCTAAGTGTTAAAAGCATCAACAATTGGGGAAAAAAGAAGTGGCAAAATTTACATACTAGTATATAAATGTACAATAAGAAGGTAAAAACTACCTGTGTCTTTTTCTTCTTTCCCTTTTCATCAACAACAGGTGGTTCTAGATGTGGGTCAGGAGCTGGACAGTGTTCAACAAATCGGGCATTCACAAGTTTAGTGAAGCTTTCTCGCCCAACATTTTCAGAACTACCTGCACGAGAAAAAAAACACAGTAGAAAATACTGGATTTAGAGTTGTCAGATTCATAGCAAGGTACTAATATCCCTCAACGGGGCAAGTAGGATGTTATGGCAACTATCACAATGTGGTCTAAAATAATTCTTCAAATAAGACAATGTCCAACTTCATCCTTAAACTTAATTTAATTAGAAAAAAAAAAATCTTTAACAAACAACAAATAATTTTATCTACCGTTACAAATTGTTTAAACATGCCTGGCTAGTTGTATCAAGATTTCAGATCTGAATTTGGAGTTTTTTAATAGAGGTCTCAAATGTAAATTTTGTGAAAATTAAAAAGAATGTGTATACAAGTTTTAATTCAGCTTCTGATATCCTTAGGCAGTAATCACTAACAGCCATCTTCACTAGAAGTGTGCATAGCAATCATTAATATTCACAATAATGTTTAAGTAATCCTTACGAAACTGTAATACTGCATTATCTTGAAGAAATGTGGTGCAGGTTTACACAAGCTAAAGCATAATTAAATTTCAAGTAAAATAGACAGCAAATCATTAATAATACCTTCTATATCTGCATAACCAGCAATCATATCATTAACCGAAAGCCTGCCGTGTTGAACTAACCCCTGAAATATTACTAGACACTAAACAAAAACGAACCAATTAATTGATCAGGAAATCAACTTCATCATCAAATATCTAAGTGCATGAAATTTTAAAGAGGAGAAAGGAAAAAAACTCCTCACATCTTTGCCAAGTTCCTCTGATACAATTTCGTAAAATTTAGGAGCCCTCAACTTGTGTATTACGTTATCAAATAGAGCCATGTATTGGGTTACCATCCTTGGTGGCTCGCCGAAAACAGCTACAGAATCCGAATAAATATTACCGTAAAAACACTAACAAATTGTAAGGTCTGTTTGGTTTGGATAAACTTTCTGATGAACAATTTTCCAATAATCATCGTCAAAAAATCTTTTTTTTTTTCATAATACAATTTAGAAGGATAAATAAATCAATGTCTTGCAAAGAACAAAATATAGCAAAACAGCATACCTAGACTAGAAGAAGTAATAAGATGACTCCAATTAAAATAAAATTAATCAAGTTTATGCATAATGAATTACCGTCTTGCTGGATGGTGAATGCTTGGACGCAGTTTTGGTGTATTAAAACGCGTAAGCAATTGATGGCATTTTCTCGATTGAGATCCGTGAATCGGATTATTTGAGCTAGGGATTGTGTTCCTCTCCGGATTAAACACTCGCATACTTTCTGCAATTTCAAATCAATTTGGGGATGAGAGAGAAAAAAAACGACAGTTAAAATACAGAACGAGAGAGAGAGAGAGTAATGAAACTGGTGGCCGGAGAAGCGGCGTAAAGGATGAATTTACCGAGCATAGGTCACCGTAGAAGGCCGAAATTATATGGACTGCGAGTTGAATTCCGTATGGCGACGCCATCACTGTGTGTGTGTGTGTGTGTGTGTTTTTTTAATTATTCTACTGTTATCAAGTACTATGGTTCTAGGGTTTACTCCCCTCGGAGAATAGATACCGGCGAGGGGGCTGGCGGAGAAACGATTCACGGTTAAGTTTCGCGGTGGCCGTGTTTGAGAGAAAAAGAAGGGAGTGTGGGAGAGGGGAGAATGGCGGGGTGGGGAAAATTCTTGGGGTTAGGGTTTTATATTTAGTGTGTGTAAAACTAAATTCTTTATCAAAAAAAATTGTAATTTGTATTTTCGAAATTACTATTAACTTTTTAATTAATAACCAAAATATAGTAAAAACAAAATAAACACTAGACTCGCATACCGAATTTTTATGTGACAACTAGGCTTCGTTTGTTTACCTATATCGGATTAGACCAAATTAGACTGAATTGAATTAATTTCCTAGTGATTAACTAGTTAATAATATGTTCTTTAGATTATATGTTTTGTAAATTTGTCAGATTCTATTATTATATGTGAATTATCTATAAAGCCTTTTATCCAATAAAATTAAGTTATTGTTTTAAGGATAATTGTAATTTTATGTTTTAGTCATTCCTACAAAATTGATCGCATGGAGAGGAATATTACTAATTTCATAATGTAGTAATATTTAATGGCAGCGACTATTTGCAAGACGAAATTTACTTAGTGCAAGACCAATTTAATTTTTTTTATTAAATTCAGTATAAAAAGACTATAATAACCTTAATAAAATACAAACAAAAAAAAATTATTTTATTAATTTTCTTTTGCAAGACCAATTTAAAAAAAAATTAATAAAACAAAAAGAAAAAGGAAATTGAATTGACAAAATCAAAACGAGGAGGGAAGATTGAAGAAAACAAAAATAATCAATTGCAGCAAAAAACCGTTCGTCGCCCCATCGCCCGCCGCCCCGTCGTCGTCGCCCCGTCGTCGTCGCCGTCGTCGTTGAAGTCCACCGCCGTCGCCCGTCGCCGTTGAACTCCGTTGTTGTCCCAACCCCGCCGCAACAATCTCACGAAAAACAAGTAAAAATTACTTTTTGAATTAACTTTTTTTTGAGAAATAAATGTGATAAACATGATTTTATTGTTAGAATAATGAATTCAAGTCGTTTTAGAACATAGTTGATGATTCTAGGGTTCGATTGTAGCACTATTGTTGAAGGAGTTGCGGTTTTACAAAAATCGACATGTACTTGTCGTTTTTTTGGAAAATTATCGACACACAATTGTAACAGTGATAATTCGACACACTAGCGTCGAAATATCCGCTTAATATCGACACCAGAATGTCGATAATTTCAATATAATTCGACAGTTAATGAGTGTCGAATTATTTTGACATTTTCGACACTGCAGTGTCGATATAAAGCTGATATTTCGACCTGTACATGTCGATTTTTTTGTACGTGAAATGAGGTGCGAAAAACGAGAAAAACGATCACAAAGTACAATATTTCTTACCTCTTTGTGTTCTTCGACCTTAGAATCCTCCATATTTATGTCTTGTGTATCCATAATGTCCTTCTTTTCAAGTTTTAGTAAGATTTGAGGGTTTTATGTGATAAGGGTTTTGGAGAATATGGAAGATTTTTTTGTGGAAAAAAATGTGTAAAATGAGGGTGAAGAAGAAGATGTTGGTGTTTTGTTGGGTGAGTGAGTTCCCTCTCTTTTTTCTTTTTTTTTTTATTCTTTTTTTTTGTATTTTTTTTTTGGTCTTGCAATAGCAATTAACTTAATTTAAATTAATAATATCTAAATTATTATTGGGGTTATATTTGTAATTTCCAGTCTTGATCTTAGTAAATTTATTTATATTTTGGTCTTGCATGAAGTAAGGTCTTGCACTTAGTAATTTTCGTCTTGCAAATATCTGCAGCCATATTTAATTGCTGACTTCAACTGTAGTAGCGTGATTGAGTAATGTTGACTCTTACTAACGAAACATCTTATTAACTTCTACTATTTACTCAATCTAACATAATGGTAGCAATCAAACTATTAATATAAATATTTTAAAAAAAAATAAAGAACTATCATAAAGAATAAATTATACATAATTAAATAAAATATAATCCCATACGAACATTTTCACTCCAAATTACATGAACTTATTTATTTATAATTGACTTTATAATATTTGATGTTACAGAGAAATATATTTCTGGCGGCAAATTTAGTGAAATATGGAACATCAAAAAGAAATAAAACTTTTTTTCTTTTGTTCATTGTTGCATTTACAGCAAGCCAAGATACACACAAATCCTGCATCTATCTCTCTCTATATATATGGACAAGAAAGCCAAAACAAAAAATAAAAATAAAAATAAAAATAAGAACTCCATTTCACATACTAGGCAAAAACAGGAACATCATATATAATTGAATCATCGACCAATTCTAGGATCAAAACATTATCGTAAAAAGTCAAATAACAACTTACGAAGACAATGTCTTACCGCTCTTACCCTTCTTCCTCCGCCAAAACAACTTCTTGAAGAAACTCCCGCCTCGATTTCTCTTACAAGGGACAACAATGTCCATAGAAGCAGCAGCAGCAGCTCCCGTTTTACTTTTGTTAGTGAACTTTTCGTCATTTGCATTTTGAATATCTTTCTCGGTTTCGGGAGAAGCATGAAATAGCTGATTGTTATTATTATCATCTGCTAGCATTTTATCCAGTAGGGAAGAAGATCGATGGCTAATTTTTTTCTGAGGAGTTGAAGCGGTGGTAATAACGGAGTCAGCATCAGGGGTATTTATGACTTTCTCGAAGAGAGCTGCGTCGCTAGGTGAAGCCAATGCCTTCAATTGCTTCCCGAGATTCAGGATCGTTTCTTGGCACTCGGCCAGTTTTTCTGAAGCTACTGTTATCTCCCAATCCTATATAAGAAATATCGATTTCATAAGATGTGTTTTTAGTGCACAATTTAGTTATACATGTATACATATATATATATATATATATATATATATATATATATTAGTAAGATGAATATCTCAATTTTTGTCTTGATTTCAATGTGAAGCATGAGACATAGAATCGAAGAGTCCCATTTACACGGAATTCAGTTTACTAATTTAGTAATAATGACAACCTAAAAAATCTTTTTAGTACGAAACTGAATGATTTTCGTTTTTCCTGCCATTTTTGCTTATATCTTGTTGAGTAAGTTTGTCGGAGATTACGCCGTTCTGAATGAAACTTGAACGATGCAAACTTACATTTTGGAGTTGCTTTTCCCACTGGCTTCCGTTATCGAGAACTTCCTCGCTGGTCATACAGAAATCACAAAGTTAGAAAATTGAAAGATTCGAAATGCAAAGAAATTAAAAAAGAAATCGAAAATGTACCTTTTGAGCTGCTTATTTAAGTCGTAGCAAGTTTCTTCCAGTCTTTCACAAGAGTTATCTTTATTTTCCAGATCATGTTCTAAATACAAAACATTATCGTAAGATTTTCCCTGTTCATGATTAGAGTCCATAAACTGATTCTCGAGCTCTCCTTTCGTCGTTTTTTCCTTTTCGACACGGTTTCCATTTTTGCCCTCGAATTGCTTCACGGTTTCCATCTCTGAGTTAAGATCCTCAATTATATCTCGTTGGCTTGTATTATTCTCTACAGAGTTATCAGCCGATCCACTATCTACCTCACTCTCACTTCCCGATTCATCCCAATCCAAACGGTTCCTTATTGCATCTTTCATGCACGAAACATCCTGCATGGAGAAGCAGTGATTCACAACCCATTCCAAATTGGAAGCTACTTCGACAACAAACTGTTCAAAATCACCCTTTCCATTCAACAAATCATTGCAAGTTCGAACGAATCTTTGCAAGGTGGCAGAAAGCTCGTCACTTTTCCATTGGAAAACTCGAACCACATAGCCCGTTGGGTTTTTCTCTGAATTCTTAGTCGATAAAAGCTTATCAATATCACTGTCTTGAGATGGTATATTTATTCCTTCGACAAGCTCAATAACTTTACGTATTGCTGAGCTGGAATTCGACGAGAATTTCTGTCCACTCTTCTCCGGAATTGGGATATTATTATCTGCAGAAAGAGAAACTACTGCTAACTTTTCCATCTCAGCAAAGTCATACATAAGACTCATGTCTGAAGCTCCCATGTTTCTGTGAGAAGCCAAAGACTCGGAGCAGCTGGCTTTATCTTCGCTGCCCACATCAGACGAAGCAGATAGCAAAGAGTGCTCTTGCAAGAAATGTAAGTATTTACACGGTTCGACACTCGTTTCCAATTTCGCTCTTTGGGCAGAATCGGCCATTCGGCGAGTATATTCTCTTTCTTCATTCCGAATGTGAAGCTCCTTCTCAAGAACACGAAGCTCGTATTTCAGAGAAGCGTTTTCCTTTTCGGTGGATTCTACTCTCGACATAAGAGCACTAAAATCAGCCTCGATTTGAGTTCTGTACTTGCTTAAATCCTCAATCACCTTCTCCTTTCCTGATAGAGCTTTACTTAACTGAGTATTCTCAGCATCTAATTTCGCGAGCCTCTTACCCGAGTCTGCTAACTTTTCATTTAACGCAATTGTTATTTTCTCAAACTCATCCGATCTTTTCACCATTGCACTATGAACTCGCTTATCCTGCTCTTTCTGTACGAAACGCAACTGCAGCATACATTCCTTCAACGCGGCATCCAAGTGGCCTATTCTTTCGTCGGAAGTAGCTTTCTGTTGTAAAACCTTATCGAGTTCTTGTTTCAAAGATATTGCCTCAATCTCCGCCTTCTCCCAACCTATATATGCAAATACAAAAATCGAGATTTACTCAATGCAATATATAAAAAAGAAGTCAATGCAACAACGTCGAACAGTATATCACCTGCAATAGCTTCCTCTGCAATTTTCACCTGCTTTTTCGCAATATTATCCTTTGCATTACACTCGGAAAGGGCAGACGAAAGCTTTTCATTCGATATTCGAAGATTTGTTTCTAGATCTGTTTTCTCAATCAGAAGCTTCTGTACCTGAAGTAAAAAAAAAAAAAAAAAACGTCACACAACACTAAAGCAAAATCATATCACAAGACATACAACAAGCAATTAATAACCAGACCTCATTTAATTCTTCCTCTTCTTCGTCTTCATCTTCTTCGTGTTTGCTCAAAGAATTGCTTGCTTTATCAGCAACTAAGGTCTTCTCGGTAGATCTTTTCTTCCAAAGCCACGATTTCTGATCCATTGCGTGTTTTCCCGTAGCTTCCAGCTCAAATCGATTTAAAAATCGCCAGAAAATCTGTTCAACATCACAATCGATTTTTCAGCAGTGGTGGTATAACATGTACACAATTTCACCCTAGAAAAACTTAGCCACTGATCTACACCATCTACAATGTATGGGAGCAAAATGAAGGCCCATACAATAGCATCACGCAAAATCCTCATGAAAAAATTAATAGCAGCCGCTAAAAAAAAACAGACACACACACAGAAATAGATACAGATTCTGATTCATCTACACATTTACTGCACAACAAACAACACAAGTATCAAAGCTAGAGCTCACGAGAAGCCATGAAAAATCGAACTGTGTAAGGCCAAACAAAATAAAACTAGGCATTGTGTGAACCGGAATCTGATAAATAAATTACGAACAAGCTGCAAAATCGTAATTAGGCATTTTATTGAGCAAATATTGTAACAATATTGAAAAATACAGTTGGATTTACCTCATACCGGATTACTGGAGAAGAAAATGCAGAGTAGAGCTGCGACTGAGAGAAACGGTGAAGAGATGCTTCAAATACACAGTGGAGATGGTTGTTGTATTATATTATATGTTTATATATGTAACTCTCTCTCTCTCTCTCTGTGCGCGGGATGAGAGAGAAAGAGGAAGTGTGGACTGTTGGTGGATCTGAATGTTGGGCGGGTGCGGGTCGGGTCACTGTCAATTGCTATCTGTAGTTCCATGATTCATGTGTCGTTGATTTCTAATTTCCCGACTTTAAAAAAAAAAGGTTTTTAAGCCAGCCAACCGTATGCGGAGAAAAAGGGGAAAACAATTTAATTTTCTAGGTTCCTTTATTATTTTTCCTTTTTTGGGAAAATGATGTTGCAACATAACTTTTATTTCCACTTTTATTTAAATAATAATGTCATCTAGACTCTATACGGAATTTTATATTATTTACGTCTCTCGTTTGGTTGATAAGATTAGTTATAATTAATTAAGATTAGTTATAATTAATTGAACTTTGAACCTTTTACGGGGTCGTATGAGTTATTTATTTTGTTGATATCGAATTTGAAATAATTCAACGCATAGATATGTTTAAGACGCTCGAAACTAGTATTTAAAGTACATAGAATCTTAATATATGTCATTAATTTATATAAATATAACAAATTTATATTATAGAGTTGTAACATAAAAACTATTGACATCAACTATATCATCACTAATGAGTAAGTACAAAATATTTTAGACACTTAAAAATTACAATTTATTTTGACTATATATATATATATATATATATATATATATATATATATATATATATATATATATATATATATATTGGCCCATCAGTTACTTCACATAATTTTCTCTCTTCATATAAAATAAATTAATTTGAGAAATATAAATTTTTATTCATTTATAATATTTCGGTCTGGTATAACAATACCTTAGTAGTAGTAATATTGGTACTATCATCCTACCAAAATATTTCAGTACGGATACGGTGTAATTTTTTTGGTAGCCAATTACTATAGTTCATTAGGACAATCGATTGGTGGGGTAATTTGGTAAAAAAATTCACAACCAACCAAACAAGAGATGATTAATGATATGAAAAATTCGGTTCATTAGTTTAATAATAGACGTACGTCACTTCACTTTATAACTTCTACATTATCTTCAACTTCGATTGTAGAAAATTTGGTTCATTAGTTTAAAACTAAGTATCGTTTTTTATCGTTGCGTATGTATTAAGAAAATTAATGAACGTGCGTGGATTTCAAGGGAAAATGTATAGTATGATCAAAATACTCGTGCCATTAATTTTATTTTCATTAATAGCAATACATGCAAATTTTAAGAAACAGTAATTAATAAAATTCTAAAGTGAGAGATGATATAAAATAAAATAAAATAAAAATTCACTAAAACGATAGTTAATTTGGAGCATATGAAGTGTTAGGATTGATCTAATTACCGTATAATTAAATGACACGTGTTCGAATCCAATTGGCTACTGATAACTATTTTAAAATAAATTATTATATTGTCAGCCAATCAGAATCTTCTAAAAAAAAGTGGTAAAATAATGGCAGAAACAAAGGACCCAGAAAAGACAGCAGCAGTTGTTAATTCACATCTGTTTTATAAAGTTAGGCCCTCTCTCATCCACTTTAAATACACTCTACTTTAATATGGGCTCCATAGTGATTAAGCCCAAATATCAGAATTAGCCCAGATTTAATTTAATTAATTTTTAAGTAGTTATAAGCTAATATTGATATAATTGAATTTTAATCTTAATTATTGGCAAAAAAGATTTTTTTTGGTTATTCCATATTATTAAAAAAAAAAAGTTACATGAAAAAATGTAATTCCATTCTATTTATTTGGTTTACTGTCTCGGTTTAAATAATAATACTCAAAATTATATAATTTGTTTTTATGAAGATTAATTTGTATAATATTAATTATTTATTTCATATATTTTTATTTTTTTTGAAATTTACTAATATCATCCTCATATGATTTTCCAAATATAGTAATATTTTATGATATTAAATATCTACATGAGTAATTTAAATTATATATATATATAACTTAAAATCTAAATATTAAGAACAAATCGTAATTAAACCGTCATAATTTTCATAATTCATCATATTTAGTTGGTTTTAATTCCATTGTTTTTATTTAATTATAATTTGCACCATGTTTCGAGTTTTTTTTTCTGCTCTTCATATACGCCGGGATGGGAAAGGTGCAGCTCATGCTTTAGCTCAACTGTCTTTTAAAGATCCGACTATTTCCAAATCTTTGCCACTGGATATTCAAAACATTGTAATAGTTGAATCAATTATCTGAAATGAAATTTTCCTTTTCTCCAAAAAAAAATGTCTTTCTGAATATTTAAATTTATATATTTTATGATAAATATTTGATAATTAAAATAAATGGAATAAATAATAAATTAACATAAAATATAATATGTAAAAACAAATATGAAAATGATTAGATATAAAAACAAATAACTTATTATTTTCAAACAATTTCTAAACATTTGTTTAAGTTATCACAACTTTTAAAATAAGTCATGATTATTATAATAATTTAAATATATTTTTCGTATTCGAATTATTCACTTAGAGCCAAAACGCTACTAAAATTTCCACCCCACTTCCAATAATCCAGTTTTCTTGATCTCCACATCGACTTTATCCCGATTCTTATCCCGCCGTGATCGCGTAGGATTAACCTTGACAACGTTGGATCCGGATCTGAGACTATTTGTCCAGTTAAACTTGACGGTACGAGCAACGGGAGGGGCTTTCTTCCCTCGAACATTTCGTGCATGTCTTGGGTTACTAGGGATAATATTTATAGGGACGAAATTGCCCCTCCCGAATTCGTCTTCTTTCTTGATTTCTTTAATCTGAATAATGTTTTCACCTTCCATTTTGATGGTTATGTTAACCTCGGACATAATTTTTTCCCTTGTAATAAAGTTGCCTTGTTCGTTTGGCTTATCACATGATGAATATTGCTTCAATCTTTTTTCTTTCTGGTGTTGGTAAAATTTGTGTAGTTTGAGGGCAAAATGGTAAATTCCCTCCTTGATTTCTTCTTCCAAGTTCTTCTCAATTTCCATTTCTAGCTCTTCCCGGATCTTCACTTCCTCAATGGACATTTTTTTTGTTATGATTATTATTGTATTAATATATTATATATTGCTAACTCTTTAGTCCTTGAAAAAAAACCAAAAAAATTAATAAGTTTCTCTAGTAATAAATAGTACATAAATATATACAATGGCGAATCCAAGATTTTTGCCGAAGGCGTTCAAAATTGTGTATAATAAAAAAAATAAAAAAATTATCACTTTATAAAAATGGTGGATGAAAAATTTACGGTGATTCAGGAGCAATGCTCTGGATGTTTTTTTTAATAACATACACATAAAAAATTTCATTTGCAAATTTTAGGAGTGATAAATAAATGTATTTGAAAGGGGGGAAATCCAATCATAAACATATTACATGCAACAACATGCTCTTTACCACTTAAACTGCAAGCCTTTTTATTAACATATGTATAAAAATACAATTTTGTTCTTAAAAAAACGTGCGCAACTGCACACCCTATACCTTAGCCAAATCCGCCACATAATATATATGACACTCAATATATATTATGTACTCTTGGTGTCAAAATATTTGAGATTTTGAATTACTGAAACCTAATTAGGAAAATCAATAAATACTTATGGATTGCAACAAAAAACATAGAAAGTGATTGTAGTGTTCATCACCAATTATGTCTCTAGTAAATATCGTTTAACTAGTTAAGAGTGATAAATCGTAGAATCGAGAAAAATACAACTAATGCATTATTGAAATTCTGAACATAATATGGAACAATAAAATTTCTATAAAACGAATACTTACAAATTCCGAAGGTTCTAAAATTTGCAAAAGAACATTGGTTCACAAAAAGTACGCCGTCAATCGAGCTTTACGAGTCGAATCGAATGCATATAAAAAAAACCCTACGAAATTTGATAATACAAAAGAACCATTTTTAATATACTCCACTATTTTCAAATCTTATACAACTTGTAACATGATTTTATATCAAGTATAGATTGATAATGACACGTGGCATTTTCAACCATTCACTTGTAATGAGTACTTGACATAAAAACATGTCGAGTTTAAGGATGTATAAACCTTTTAATGTCATTTTCTGTTATATTTGATTCCGATTTACCCGCCAAATATCTCTGCAAGAAAGTGAGAATTTAGTGCATACTTATATTTAAATTTTTTTTTTCAATTTTAAATTTATTTATTTTCATCAAATTGAGAATATGGTTTGGTTTTAAACAAGGGTGCTTTACTTTGAAGGGATATATCAAAAAAAATCTTTTGGGGTTGTCTTTAAGCACAATCGAAATGTGCAAGTAAAAATCTTCACATGTTTGATGTTAATGTTTGGAGATAGAGAAGCATACCAAGAAACTAGAGTGAATGAAGGAATTCGCATAAAAATATTCAAATTGTTTTCTTGGTATTCGAATTATTTACTTGGAGCCAAAACGCTACTAATATTTCCACCCCACTTTCAATAATCCAGTTTTCTTGATCTCCACATCGACTTTATCCCGATTATTATCCCGCCGTGATCGCAGAGGATTAACCTTGACAACGTTGGATCCGGATCTGAGACTATGATCTGTCCAATTAAACTTGACGGTACGACGAACGGGAGGGGTTGTCTTCCCTCGAACATTTCGTGCATGTCTTGGATTACTAGGGATAATATTTATAGGGCCGAAATTGCCCCTCCCGGATTGGTCTTCTTTCTTGATTTCTTTAATCTGAATAATATTTCCACCTTCCATTTTGAGTTATGTTAACCTAAGACATAATTTTTCCCCTTGTAATAAAGTTGCCTTGTTCGTTTGGCTGATCACATGATGAATATTGCTTTAATCTTTTTTCTTTCTGGTGTTGGTAAAATTTGTGTAGTTTGAGGGCAAAATGGTAAATTCGCTCCTTGATTTCTTCCTCCAAGTTCTCAATTTCCATCTTTACTCTAGCTCTTTGCGGATCTTCACTTCCTCAATAGACATTTTCTTTTTTGTTATGATTATTTTTGTATTTAATATCTTATATATTACGAGAAAACCCCTTATTTTTATTACTATATATTAAATGCAAGAACATGCTCTTTACCACCTTTTTTTTTTCGAAAGATGCAGTAGAATTACTCAAGACAAAAATTACAAGAATAAAAAAGAGGGTGCCCACCATCACAAAAACAACTAATATGGATATAATTAGGAGCTACAACTCCACCCCAAGAAAGATGATGAGCCCACTTAGCAAGATTATGAGAAGCAAAATTAGCATTACGATTTACAAACTTAATAAACTACAAGCCTTTCTTGTTAGCATTAGTATAAAAATACAATTTTGTTTTTAATCAAGGGTGTGCAGTTGCACACCCTATACCATAGTCAGATCCGCCACTGAATATATATTAAGAGAAATTTAGCAAGAACCCCACATGTAGAAAATGTAGTTAATGAAACACTATCTCCCAAAAATAATTAAAGAAAACTCCCTTAGCTAATATTTCAGCCAAATGATATTTTCATAATTCCAAAACTACTCTTAATTGTCAATATACTCTTTCAAAATTCTAATCTCATTTTTCATTTTTCATTTTCCATTCTCCTTCCTCGTTTCTAACTTCTCTTTTCTCCGTTTTTTCTTCTTTCTTTTTTTTTTTCTTTTTTTTCTCCGACAAATTTCTCTCCGCCGCCGGAAGATGGAGAAAGAAAGAAGAGGAAACACCCGTCGCCGGCGTGTGGAGGAGAAGCACTCTTCCTTCAGGCGTCAAGTTACTGTTTCGAGCGATTGTTCGTGGTTAATTTTGTTTCTCGTTTCAATTGTTGGTCAGTAGTAGAGACGTCTGATTGTTCTTCGTTTCGATTTTGTGAAGATTTTTTCTTCGTCGCCGCAGCTTATGGATTTTAATTTAATTTTTCTGCATATCACTACACCAAAACGACCTTTTTCTAACAGTTATAGTCTGTTAGAAAAATTATTTCTAACGGCGGAATTCCGTTAGAAAAACGGCATTAGAAAGACATGGTCAAAAAATTCTAACGGATATAACCGTTAGCAAAAATTACAAAACCGTTGGAAAAACTAAATATACGACACTTTTAGGTCATAGTGAAGATGGTGTTTTCCATATGGTTATTGTGCAAGCACAGTTTCATCCAGACTATCCTGATGCCCAAAATCTACGTGTGATACTGAATATATATCGGACTGATACCGAGCAATTCAAAAGAGCGACGGAGAAGAAGCACAGTTGTCTTGGTGAAAAGCTTGGGCATGTCACTAAAACTCTCAAGCTTATGCTTGATTTTGATCTCTCTAATTAATGTTGGGGACAAATGTATTTGTTTTTCATTTGAGCCATGTTGTTCCTTTTGGCTCTTTTTCCAAAGAGATTCTTGCTAGAAAAAAAATATCTCCTTGCTTCTCTATTCTATGTAAAAGATGTTTTATTTTGATCTTCAAATTCTCTCTTGTATTATTTTTATCTTTTTTGTTCTTCAAATACTGGACGGTGAAATTATTTGTATCTAATGTTTTAGTTTCTTTTATTTCTTACTCCTTTCTATGATTCTAGACAACAATCATGACATAACTTATGCATCTTTGGTTCAAAGTTGATCATTTGGCAAATATTTGGTCTTTTTCTATTGCACAATAGAATAATTGACATTTGAGATATGTCATAAAAATGATAAAAAGAAGTATATATGTGTCATAAAAATGAATGTTGGGAAATTTGTTTTAGAAGAAAAACACTAGGCCAAAACTGCACTCTGGCGACGATTTTATTTGCGACGATTCAAGTTTCGTCGCAGTATTGCGACGTTATTGTACCAAAAACGTCGCAATGAGTTTAAGATCCAATTTAACTTCAAACATATGCGACGATTCTCAGTAATCGTCGCAATTGAACGACGAAAATTAAAAATCGTCGCAACAGTTAATAATAAAAAAATTACATACATCAGTTGCGACGATAATAATCAAAACGACGCAATAAAAAATATTTCAACATTTATAAAATTAAATAATTGCGACGAAACTAGAAATACGCCACAAGTTGCTCCGTAAAATTAATTTTTGACACGATTGCGACAAAACTAGATAATCGTCGCAGAGAGAAGATTAAAATTTTATTTTATTAAGCATAAGTTTGCGACGATTTCGACAGTAACGTCGCATATCTTCCAAATTCAGAAATTCTTGTGTCGAAAATGAATACTCACATATTAAAATCAAAATTTTAGATAAATAAAAAATACAATTGCGACGAAACATAGAATCGTCGCACGAATATAATCTAAAAGTTGCAATTAAATTTGGAAAATTAAAATTTCGCGCTTTTTTTGTATGCAAAAATCAAATTTCTGAAAAAATTCCGCCTTTTTGTGCGACGATTGAGAAAACGTCGCAATAATTTATTGTTTTTCTAATTAAATGCGACGTTGTTTAGGTTAACGTGGCAATTTTTTTTAATTTTCAACCCTAAATTGCCGATTCTCCTCCAAATTCTTTTTCTTCGTCTTTGTCCTGTCTTTCCCTCTCAATTTGTCTCCTTGACTGCTGCACAAATCCGGTGGCCCCTCCGGCGACCGCTACCCATTCTCCCGTCGAGCTTCAACGGCCCCTATCACGCAGCCGATTCCGGCAGCGTCACACTCTGCCTCCCTCTCCGTCGTCGAGCTTCAGTTGCAGCCCACTCAGGCAGCGTCACACTCCACAGCCCACACCACCGTCGAGTTTCATAAGCCCTTATCCCGCAGCCCACTCCGGCAGCGTGATACTCTGCCGCCCACTCCGCCGTCGAGCTCCAGCCGCAGCCCACTGAGGCGGCGTCACACTCCGCCGCCCACTATGTCGTCTCACTTCAGCAGCCCCTACCCTGCAGCCCAATACGGCGGTGTCTCTTCGTCGCCACACTCCGATGCCCACTCTGTTGTTGAGATTCAGCAGCCCCTATTCCGCCGCCCACATATATCTCTCCACAATATATACGTTAGTGCTTTTCTCCATTCTTTTCCAGTAAATATCTCCATTAAGTGAATTGGGTTTGTTGTTGTTTGTTTTTTATTTGATTGAAGATGATTGTATCAGTATATGGTTGTGAATGTGATGTGAGTCTAATATTCTAAAAAAAACAATATTTTGAACAATCTGGAAGGCATAATCGCTTATACCTTGGCATGTGTCTTTAATTTTCATTGATTTCAATCTCCAACAGTACATGAATTTTGACTTTCCTATTAGTTATCTAAGAAATTGCATCAATATTTTTGCCGAGTTATTAGCTTAATATAGAATTTTGTAAATATGTTAGTTGATTAGTTTTCATCAAGGATCAGTGGTGATATGTGGGCAGGAATTATGTGAGCAATTTCATTATATGTCTAATCTTGGAGGTAAATGGAAGGTAAATTGTACTTTTAATATTAACTGAGGATATTCGTATATATAGTAGTCTATTAATGTGCTCTATGTTCACAGTCCAAATTTAGTAAACGTAAGGATTCACGAAAGGCAGCTGCAACAGACCATCATTGGGGTCGAACTAGTATCAATAGTTGGTCCTATAAACATGTAAGTGATTGTAACTATGAGTTTTATTTCTTTAAGATTTAAAATGTCTAATTACTTTGTAATTTATTATTACAATTTAACAAATTTAGTAAAACTCCTACAGTGGTTGATAAATATAAGAAAGCCTATATGGGCATTGATTCATTACAAGCAATGGGGTCATCCACTAGTGAAGAGATGATATGGAACAACCGTTTACAGGGACAGCTACTCCCGACCAACTTGCTATTTCTGTAAGCACAATATTTTTAATACTTCAATTTTAGTATCTCAATTATCCATGTTTGCTCTTTTTGTTGAATGTTAAGTTGGGATTTATTTTAAAATTTATGTATCTATGGCGTAGTTCCGATCTATTACTTGATTGTCCATTGATATGTTGATATGCAAGCACAGTGTTGATATGTTGAATTAGTAGTTGATATATATGGATTTATGTATTTTTTGGATATGTTGGTTATTGTATATCGATAAGGGTATTTTTTTTGTATGTTTGTATTTTAGTCGTTATGCCGCCGAAATTTGGGTTTAACTTGTGCACTTAAGTTGTTTAGGCTGAATTGAAGAAAGTTTAAGAAGAGTGTAGACTTGGTGGAAGTGACGAAAGTACGGCCAACTCATTAGTTTATGAAAGAGTGTTGGGGAAGTGTAAAGGAGTTGGGATTAAACGTGTGGGCGCAAAACAAGGATTAATTCTTGTTTATGTCTTACTTGGATTCATGTTTGTGTGCGACTTAATTTTTTTTCTTTTTCTTATGTACGACTTTATTTTGAGTTTATGTATTTTTTGAATTCGTATTTGTGTGTTACCTTAATATTTACTTTTAATGTAAGACTTATATTTTAATGTGTTTTGGTATTTGATGTAATAGCTAATTTTATTTATTGCAATTGATGTACATATTTAATTTTTTATTAGAAAAAAGAAATCTGATTTAAGAAGAAAAAAAAAAAGCAGTTGCAGTTGCAGTTGCGACTAAAAATTGAAATCGTCGCAAAAGAAAAAATATTTATTTTGGGACCAAATATATTTCGACGCAATAGCTACAGATATGCGACGGATTATGGATCCACTATCGTCGCAAATTGACTTTAGTGTATCTACGAAATCAAATATTTTGACGCAAAAAATCTAAATTATTTGCGACGATTATGACTTTAAAGTCGCAATATATTGCGACGAAAAGAGTATGTATCGTCGCAATATATTGCGACGAAAAGAGTATGTATCGTCGCAATAGAAAATAAAATGGATATTCTAGGAAAATCTAAATATTGCGACGATTTAACCGTTTCGTCGCATACGGAGCGACGGAAAACAATTTCGTCGCAGTATTTGCGACGAGACACAGAGCAACGATTTTGGACCATCATTGCGACGAATATTTTGCGTCGCAAACATGCAATTTTCGTCGCAAATGAGTCATTTTCGTCGCAAATTTTCGTCGCCAGTGTCGTGTTTTGGCCTAGTGAAAAAAAACAAAAAAACTTCAAATTGCGTCATTAGTTTACCGCTGAAGAGGATTTTTTTAACGGGGTAAGGAAAAGTAATGAAAAATAGAAAAATTGCGTCATTGCCTTAACGCGGTAGAGGGATCTTGTTAATGGGGTAAGGAAAAAGTGAGAAAAATAGAAAAATTGCGTCATTTCCTTAACGCGGTAGAGGAATTTTGTTAGCGGGGTAAGGGAAAAACTGATAAAAATAGAAAAAATGCGTCATTAGGGGTTACCGATGAAGAGGGATTTTTTTTTAACAGGGTAAGGGAAACTAGGGTACAGGCTGCGCTCTGAGCAATTACCTTTGCTACCACATCTTGTATGAGGATGGATATGGGAGCAAGACATGCGAGGTAAGAAAGAGTATGTGAGGATGTTGCGATTGTTTAATTTGCTCTTTTAATTTAATGCAACACATATTCAGTTTTCATATACTCTTTATATGTATTAACGACCCTTTTAAAGCTTTCTCAGTAGATATCATCATCATCATCATCATCATCATCATCATCATCATCATCATCATCATCATCATCATCATCATCATCATCA